TTACTTATAAGCGAGAAATTCTTTTAAGCATTTTCTTTAAGCAAAAAAATTTTACATGAAGCATATTCCTTAGCTATAACGCGTATTTATCTACAAAGAAGTGGCACATGTGCTATAATCAAAAATATTATCTATAAAGAAGTGGCACATGCGCTATCAAGAATAAGTTTTCACAGTAATTTGATATTTTTCTACACACGGAAAAAACAATTTTGCTGAATCCAGATCTGAAGATAAATTTTTATTTAATAATCAAAATAATTTTGTGCGAAAGTCAAAATGATTGCTAGAATAACAAAACGTTTTACAGCAATGTTTATCAGTTTTAACATTCCAACAAATTATTTTAATTCAACAAAAAATTATTTTCAGATCTGTATTTAACAAAATTTTTAGACCTTTCAACAAAATCGTTCTTTCCGTACATTTTAGAATATCCTCTTGAGCCATATATAAGAGGAAAATCTTTTAGCATCTTAAGATGGTACCGCTAAAGGATAGAATATTTTTTTTAGGTGTATTGCTAATATAAACGTGCGGGTATAATTATAACAATTGTAAACATTATCGTAAATATCATTACAAAAAGATAAAAATAGTGTGATAGTAATGATATTTACGATAATGTTTACAATTGTTATAATAATACCCGCATGTTTATATTAGCAATAAAATTCGAGAGATTATGTGCGATTTTTAATTTGGATTATTACCTTGCAAAGTTTAGAATAGATTTTGATATTTGACAGATCTTCTTTACGAACTTTGCAAAGTTCCATAGAGTGAAATAAAAATTGCATATACAAATGCAGTTTACAGTTTTCGAAAGCATGAATCTTTACCTTTAATTTGCGCACTCGTGGAATATTATACGAATTTTTCACCGAATTGCTCAACAATAAAGTAAAAATGATCCTTATATGCTTCAACATTGAATAATTCAGTGACAAAAAATCGCGCAATGCTGAATCGAGTTCGCAAATTAAAAGTAAAGATTCACGCTTTCAAATGTGTAAACTGTATTTGTGTGCGATATTTAATTCATATCGAAGAGCCTTGCAAAATTTATAACAAAGTGTGTCGCATTTTTATTTCCGTATAGCTCCGTAAAAGATCAGCAAAACGTTCTTTAAAGTCAATATAAAAACTAAAAATTAATTGTAAATGTTTTTGAAAAATTTTATTGTAATTAATATATTTTTTAATGATATTACACTTTCCTTTGAAGAGTAGAATAACTAAGCGATCTTTAATTTTGCTGTTGCATTAGCATATGCAGCGCTGGTTCTCTTGCGCTATACGCGTACGCGAATCGAGCGCACCGGGCTGCCGACAGCCCGAAACGCCGCGCGCATGCGCGCTAGCGCCGCGGGTTTCGCACATAGCTCGATCGCATTTAATTATTTATTTTATTGCCCGCACATATTAATTATGTTATTTTTTAAACGTCCGAATGTTTTGTTATTTACTTTAGGCGATTTCGGAGGAGGGAAACTCATCAAGGCATAAATATCTAAATTCCGGCAGCCACGTTTTTTAGAACCCTCCGAGCGCTGGTTCTCACCGGTCGATACCGATCCATTGCTACCTTTCTCGAATTGCAAAAGCCTACGAGCACAAGAAGTCTGGAAGTTCTCGGCCTCGGCCCAGCTGTTGCCGACAGCTCGTTCCGGCCTCGACTTCCAAAAACATTCAACATTTGATCGAGCACGACAGTGGTAAGGCCGTTGCCTGCCGCAACCCGGCAATTACCGGCTGGCCGAGATCGACATCCTTCCAATTCATTTGACAGTAGTGGCCGTTGCCGGCCGTCTCGGTCTGGCATTTGCTGGCCGTCGTCATAATTATTGTACGTCGCATACCCAGGTAGCACGTATTTCTTTTAAAAACCAACTTTTAAAAACGTTTTTGAGTGGTTAAAATGTTCACTGGAAAAACGCGTTTAAACACGGAAAGAACGATTTTGTTGAAAGACCTAAAAATTTTGCTAAAAACAGATCTGAAAATAATTTTTTGTTGAATCATCAAAATAATTTGTTGGAATGTTAAAACTGATAAGCATTGCTATAAAACGTTTTGATATTCTAGCAATCACTTTGATTTTCGCACAAAATTATTTTGATTCTTGAACAAAAATTATTTCCAGATCTGGATTCAGCAAAATTGTTCCTTCCGTGAAGAAACGTTTCTTTTTCGTAAAAAAAAACGTAGAGAAATATAATCAAATATATCATTTTTTCTTTATCTGTAAAAAAGATTTACCCCAAAAAAATATTCTACTTATAAGCGGAAAAATCCTTTAAGAGGATGCTATAGTCGCCTGTTTTACCGACAAAAATACCATTTTTGTTGGTTACTAATTGCTTCGTACGTGTTAATCGCATAGAATTAAATTTCCTTTTCCACGATTAAAACACACATGCAAATGTATCTGGCTCTGGTGCATTTTGTATCAAAAACGGAAAAAAATGAAATAATTACAGATTTTGTTATCTATTTTAACCTCAACATGGCGACTAATGCTGTCAATTTACCAAAACGTTTATTACGTGAAAAAGTTAGGCAGGTCATATACTCGAAATAAAGACAGGGCCAGGTGTTCAATAAAGAAATAAATATATGTGAGTTGTTAAAATTAAGTATAGAAGCCTAAATAAAAATATATTAGTAACCGATAGATTTGTGTATATGTATAATGCGTGAGATATATTGATGTGATATTAAACTACACACTACTACGTCAATATCGCACGCATACATACTCATAAAACAGCGAATTTTTGGAGTTTGTCTCGGGTTTAGGATACCCTTAAGCATTTCCTCTAACAAAAAATTTTACATGAAGCTGATATAGCTGATACATGAAGCATGATATATTCTTCAGTTATAACACAGTTTAACTATGCGTATTTATCTACAAAGAAGTGGTACATGCGCTATAATCAAGAATATTATTTATGAAGAAGTGACACATGCACTATAATCAATTAATAAATTCTCATAGTAATTCGATATTCCTCTACATTTTAAAATATATCTTCTTGAGCCATATATAAGAAGAATAGATATCTTTTAACATCAAGAGGGTACCGCTAAAGAATAAAATATTTTTTTGGGGTGTTGCGCATTTGTTCTTTTCAAGTAAACTTTTTCACAGATAGAAAAATAATGATATTTTGATTATATTTCTCTTTTTTTTTTACCACAAAGAAATGTTTCTTTAAACGTTTTTTGAGTGGACACTTTAATCATTTAGAAACGTTTTCAAGGTGCTACCTGGGCTACTGTCGCGGGGACCATCGGGGCGCGTCTATATTTTCCATGTGGAACGCTACCGTGTCGTAACTAAGTGTCATGCCGGGTATAATGCAACGGAAGCCGCAGCGTAAATGTAAAACCGTTTACTTCCGACCGCCCTAAATGCAACGTTAAAACATGTATAGGCTTATACTTTCTACGCGCCGGCATTAAATTCTAATTTGTAGTCTTAAATAAACCGATAATATATGTGTTTCTTAACTGCTCTCGTCTCTAGAACCGACTGATGCATATCCGCGCATTTACCCGTGCTGTACGGAAGACAAAACGTTTTAAATTTAAGATTCCAGTTGCTAAATTATTAAGAATAACAATATAGGCATATTGTAAAAATTTATTGTCCGATTGTAAATTTAGACTATTTTTTGCATTTGAATGTATGTGTAATATCTTGGCGACCTGGCGTTTATATAAAAAGCATTCATTATCTAAAATCCCTACGTTTTTTCTAATCGAATTCGTGATTATAAAGCAATCTATAATCTATATTCTGTTATAACCGAGTGATTGCTAATATTTTTTCGAGAGATTTCATTAGAATATTATTCTGCATCAAATATTCATAGTCTTTAAAGTTCTGCCGGTCTATCAACGTAGAAAGCATCACAATAATTATACAATAAATCTTGTCAACTATATTTATTTTATCTTTGATAGAAGATATTTTTTGAGCTTTCATTATTTTATTTTTATTAAGGCAAAAACATAGTTGCTTACTTTTAGATCTTTAGTAATAGCTTATATTTTTTCGAAATACCGTAAATGAAATTATTAAACTAGTGCTATTTTTTACATAAAATAAACTAGATATAACTAGTATACATAATGCAATAAAGTCATTTAATTACCTAAAAAACAAGAAATCTAGAAAATAACTTTTTTCACGTTCAAGAAATACGCTACCAGAAAAGCTGTCATAACATCCGCTACGATGCAATAATATGACCGCGATTATGATATACATATATGTACAAAACAATAGTACGCATCCGCTTGTGTATATACATATTATATCAGTACAAAATTATCTTTGTAAAAAAAGCGGTTTAAATAGAAAGAGCTTCCTGCGATGTGCAAATACTTATAAGTTTAACTTAAATAAAAATATTTTTATGTAACAACACTCAGCACTGCTAGATTGAGTAAGGAAAACAATTTAAAAGTAATAACATATTTAATCTAAATATTATATTGAAAAAAGTAATAATAAATTTATTGTAAATGTTACATTGAAAAATTCAATTATATTTTTAGATCTAGCAAAACTAATTAAGTGTTTTTACATAATTAAGATGATATGAGTTGTTTGTAAGTTTTTATCGCTCTTAACTTGTTCCCGAAATATTTCTATTGTCACGGAACATCTACTAAACCGATTATCGAATTATCAAATCATACAGCAGGTAGTACAAAATATACGGCCTGTGATTACTCGTTTTTATATAAACATTTTCTATTTACTTATTGCAAAGCATAACACAGATGCAATGACGTTTGAGAAGTTAATCAATTTTGGCAAAATAAAATCTAACTGGGTTATAATAAAGAAAAAATTTGGCATGCCCAAGTCGCATTAATTGCATTTCTGTAATAAATGTAATTAATGTTATTAAAATGTAATTATAATGTTATTAAATTAAATTAAACAATGTAAATTTATGTGAAAATAATGCAATATAATAATATTAATACAAAAATTAAATGAATCACATCGTACTTTTCTCGCTGTACTGTAACGCGTGATATCGAATATTATAATAATCTTTAGCGTTTTGGAAAATAAATTTTGCGAGCTGTAGAAATAGCTCTCGATAGATAGACGCTAAATGCACCCTTTTCTTTGTTAATATTTTTATCCTTCTGTTCTATCCAAGAGAGAAATTTACTTCTAATAAATTTCACCTTAACGGGAGTCAATACAGGTCGTTTACATATTGGCGATTGTCTTACACATCGTTTCGCTAATTCCCGACGAGCCCATAACGCGTTACATAACGTCGTAACAAATAGGCTCCCTTTTTTCTGATCTTTTGCCTTGCGAAGTGCACGTAAAAGCTTTTGCTTATCTTTAATAATAAAATCGTTGTCTGAATGTTCATTTTCCGTAGTATTTGACAACGGTGACGGATGGGAATGCACAGATTCATTTTCAGAACATTCAAGCATAAAATCTTCACTTTCTTCCTCCTCACCTTCTTCAACTCTTCTTTCTGTTTCATCTGCACATTCAACTGGACGAATAGTGTCGATGGTGGCGATGTTGGTGGTGTTGGCGTTGGCAGTAATATCTACATTGGTATTGTCATTGGTGATGGTGGCGGTTTTGGCAGCGGCAGTGTCGATGGTAACGGTGTTGGCTTTGGCAGTGGTGGGAACAATAGTATCTAAAAAAATTATCGTACAGTATTGATAACTTGAAGATAGGATTGGATTTGATACGCATATATTCTACAGATTTCCTATACGTATCGTATGTACATACATATGATTGCGTATATCATACGTAAAATATATATTAAAATATGTATGATACCTTTGACATTAACTTTAATCTCACAAATCATTTTTGTATTTTTTAAAGAGAATTAGTTTAGTTATTATAACTGTTATTAGTTACAAATAAACTATTAAATTGACTTGATATACATATATTGTAATTTTTTCTTATTTAAAATAATTTTATATTTAAAAATAACGTCATTTTAATTTTATTAATTTAATATGAATGATGTTTTCCAAAATTAACTTTAATTTAACTTTAGTTAATAATTTAATCTTAACACAAGTTTTAACTGACAATGAAGTAGTTTCTCGTTCATTGCAACTTTTATAACTTAACTAATTAATTTTGTAAATCATTAATTTTAACTTAATTTAGTTTAAAAAAATATTAACTTACCTACTAATCCTGCTGTTAGGTTACCATGTATTGTACAATCTGAAAAAAAATATATATATATATTACAGTACTCACTACAATAGAAAACACGAATAAAAAATATACTTTATACTTTGCAGAACAAACGAAGAAGGATATCTGGATGTTGTATTATTGTCTCCATTAATTATACTTTTTATTGCTTCAACTTCCTCTTGAAGTGTAGCTATTTTCTGTTTCATTTTACACACTTCTTGTTCTATATCATTGTACAGCCGTTGATCATGCTCATTAACGTTGTTATTGGAAGAAGTGGATGGGGTTGTTGTCGTATTAGTAGCAGCAGCAGTAGGTACGTTGACGACACTGTCATTAAACACTCTTCCTTGTTCTGGTCTTTCCTGTAAGACACATATACAAGAGAATGTTAACAGTAGAAAAATAAAAAAATTGAACTATAACTAATTACTATAAATGCGCAAATTTTCGGGTATAATCTCGGTGCTGAGAATCGTTACGTGCGAGTGAGTTGAATCCTCGATATGCGCTTTGTTTACATTAAGGCGATGCTGGAATATCGACATTTGCATTCTAATGGATAACTATCCGGATAACTATCCGGATAATGGATAACTCCGAAACGACTGAACGGATTTAAAAACGCTTTTACAGGATTGAAAATGTCATCGCGCTAGGTATATATGAATAGTAAAAACGAAAAATATTTAAAATTACCTTTTTTGGGGTATCATAACCAGTCACCTGACGTAAACATTTTATTGGTATGTACAAAAGTTCTGCAGCTCATATGTACAAAAAAAGTATCTAGCGCGCATCGGATTATTTGCACGAATAATACAAGACGTTTTGAGCTACGATTGGAA